CAGTGATCACGAGAAGCAAATTTGTGCAATACGATACCTCATCTTATCAACAAACAGAGGCTTCTTGGTTTGGCATTAACTTTTTACTAACAAGCCTCGTGATGAGTGGATATAGTCTCCAAGAATTATTACTACCATTATTATTTTTATTATTATTACTATATTACTACAGGTATACCTCACCTTACGTCGATAATTTGTTCCAGGAGAGCCGACTTGTCGAAAAACGACTTTAAACTTTAAAACAACTTTAAAGTCGAATTTACTTGTCTCCCAATTTTCTTGTCACTAGACTAAACCACTAATAACCATTCCCAGTTCTGTATTTTCTTTATAAATACATTTTTAATAATATATCGTCAATAAGAATCTATTTTAGGCTTACAAACTAATAAAAAAGTAATCTAAATTTATGAATACATATACGTACATACTTGTAAATGTAGATGTTTACCATTTGGCGATCTTTACAATACATTGCAAACTCTTTATGAATGTGGTTTGCTCTAAGACATTATAAAATAAAATGATTTTGTAAGATTAAATAACAAATACACTTATTAAAATTATTTTGCGATAGTAAAAAAAATAAACTAATTTATGTTAAATTTGCCAATATTTACATACAATTTGTACAGAAACATTATTTTAGGTGCTTTTAACGCCTTTCTTTTGATATTACGACTTCAGTATTTGTGGCGGAGAGACATAAAGTCGAATAAAATAATTTAAACTTGATTTTTATTTTTCCATATATTTTTTGACAAACGACGTATAACCGAGAACGACTTAACTCGAAACGACGTAACTCGAGGTATACCTGTATTATTATTATTTTTACTGCTATTAACATTCTTATTACCTATTATTATTATTATTATTATTATTATTATTATTGTACTATTATCGTTACTTTTATTATTATTTTACCACTGCATACCTATTTTTGTATTATAATTTTATCATTAACTATTAAAAAAAAAAATTAGTTACCCCCTTGGCTTTTAATGTCTGTTTACCAAGAGCGTTCAGAGATTTCATTTTTTTAAAAGTGAAATTAGAATGTCTGATTTTGATTTTCAATTTTAAGTGGAAGTCTGGACCTAAATTTAAATTCAAATTTAGATTATAGTGTAATTAAATATTTAACAACAATAATAATATATCCAAATAACACCACGAAACCGCGAGACACACAAATATTAACCAGACTGTTATCATCTCTCAGAACCTGTCGATTGCATGCTGCATGAAACTCCGAGTCTTACTGTCGGAGCAGGGTATTATGTATATTTATTAATATACACTAAATAGCTCTGTTATTTTGCATTGAGCGCCGTTTTACACCAAAGCATATATATATATATATATATATATATATATATATATATATATATATATATATTTGTATGTGAACATTTGCATGTACATTTATTTATATTTATTTGTATATATATATATATATATATATATATATATATATGCACTAATCAGTATGTTATAATCCAGAATGATGATGATATTTCATCATTCTAAAACAACCTTTCCACCAGTGATGATTGGTGATAAGGATATTTCATCAAAAGATAAAAATAAAGATTTAAAAATTCATCATTCTAAAGCAACCTTGCCACCAGCAATAATATATGATGATGATATTTCCTCATTCTATAATCTGAAACTACATCATTGTAAAAACGACCTTTCCACCACAGGCAGTAGAGTAGTAGTAGAGTAGCAGTAGTAAAAAAGGAACAACGCAGACGTATCACCACCGCTGCTTAAAAATCCACAGTTAACGGTTTCAAACGCTACCCTTAACAAAGAAATTCTCGGAACAAGCAAAATCAAGTAAGCACAAACTTTTAAAGAAACAAAAGAGACAATAACACTGGGAACATTTTTAACCCACAATATTGTAATTAACATCACGAAAAGAAAAATACACATGTTTATGTCATTGTTGTATGTTTTATTCATTTTATTTTCAATAAAAAATAGATAAAAAGAATCCTCTATCAACTACAAATACACATAATAATGGGGTAACTTACATTAACAAACATAGACCCACTCCGTTCAAGTACATTACTATGAATAGGAAACATCCTAATATATGCAATTGTATACAATAAACAAATATTTGATATGCTTGTAATTTTATATATTAAAATTTCAAATGAATATAAAGATATTTATCTGTGATGAAATGCAAAAATCGAATTTGAACATGTCTAAACACGATTTACTGCAAATAAAAAGTTATATACGAAGTGGTGTTGAATATTCCTGTTCAACCCATTATAAACTTTCTAAAGTCTGACAAAATGAACAGAGCTCAATTTTTTTGTGGCTTTTTTTGTCAGACCGAGTAAACTTTTCATCATCCCTACGTCGTATCAAATTAGCTAGCAACAGTCCGCTAGTGTTATCGATGGAAAAAAGGCGAAACAAATGACATATTGCAAACACATATGATGAATTATTTATGTACAATTTGTGCCTCAGATTTCAATCTAATAGGATAAATGGAACCGCCATTTGTTTTGCCTTGCTTTTTTTTTTTTGCTTTCTACCTTTATGATAACGAGACGGCGCTCAACAATCCGCTGATTACCCCATTTGTCTGCTAAAGAACTTCTGCTAAATGACATTGCTAAAAGCAATGTCTAAGGAAAGGGGCGCAACGTATCATACTTTTTTTTTCGCCTTTAAAACTTAGTCGATGTAAATATTCCTTGAGGATTCCTCTTTGAATGTTGTTGTTAGTATCATCCACCCCCACCCCGTCACAAAAATCGTACATATGGAACTAGTTAGGAGTTCATAAAGAAATCGCGGTGTTATGGTTCCTGTAATATAACAGGGATGTGTAAATGTGAATTTTTGGTAAATGGAAAAATATTCGGGCGAATAGGTCAGTGATTGAAAAGATGGAACAATGAAGATCAATCCCTTACATTACCGCTTTAGGCTTTTACTGCAGTTTTTGAAATCTTACAAAAATAAATATTTTTTTCACTTTTAGGCATACAAGACCACAGAGACAGGATAGGTCTCGTTCCTCTTCGGGAAGAGGGGTCCATTTGTTCTTCAGTGAACCACGTGTCGCACCGAGCACAACATAAAAAAAGTACACATCATACAAATGCCCTAAGATTACTTGATTACACACAGCTATTTCTAATAATTCTACCAAACCAAAAAAGAACTCTTCATGAAATGTAAACGCCTAAGGTTGAAATACCGGTTCCCGTACGATCACCGAAGTTAAGCAACGTCGCGTCTTGTCAGTACCTAGATGAGTGACCGCTTGGGAATACCAGGTGCTGTAAGCTTGGATGTGCTGCTGGTATAGAGGATAATGGCTTGGAATTGTAAGTTTCAATTCCAGTCGAGTTCGTTGTATTCACTTACATGCAAATACCCTTGGGAAAAATAGGAATCCAAATCTTAACCCCCACCCAGCTATGACTTTTAGTAAGACTTGTATCACTAAACCATTATTATCTCCCCCCCCCCAAAAAAAAGTTTTACAAACTAAACAAAAATCTGGCTTTAAATAACCTGACAAGGGTTGATAAACGGTAGGAAACGAATCAGTCAATCAATAAATAAAAACAACATATTCTATTGTCTTAGCAAACTACAAAGAAAAAAAAAAGAAGAAAGACAGCTAGGCAAGAAAATGTTTACTTTTTATAGACTTAACCAGCGCCGCCTAACGGTGTTTCACGAAGTCAAGTGGGGTAATCATTATTAAAGATCCGGTTCCTTTATTCTTAGCTTGATGGGAAAATGTATTTATTTTTCTTTTCTTTATTATTCAATATTCATTATTATTATTATTTTATTTAACGATTTTATTTCATTTTCCCTCAGAAACAATATTAATTGGGGAGATATATGATATATGATAATCCATGGCCATTATTTTTGTTAATACCATTTTGCGGCATACACAAATCTCTCAAAGAAAAGACTGTGTAGCGCAGCGATGCAAAAAGGAGCCTTACCTGAGTAATACCAGGTAACATTTATTTTTGAACATCTGAAAATTATTATTACTGTCAAAAATTGGTGATGTAATATATGGAGATATTAACCAAATGAAAAAATGGCCCTGTAGGGATAGACTGCCCTACGAGATATATTTTGGGATTTCATAAATTCCCGTTGCAAACTGCCGCATGACAATCCCCACCCTGGCGTTTTGGATTCTCCTGGACAGAAAGAGTTTGGCAGTGTGAAGGACCAGACACTATATTGAGACATCTTGAGTCAATATAAAAAGGTGAACTTCACCTATTTAACTAGGCATCATAACCCCCGAGTCGACCCGCAGTCTCTAACTGTGTGCGACTTCTGTCGAACTCCCTGCTTTGGCAATGAGGAACCCGGACGAGTCTTTGCCGAAGGGCAAAGTTTCGTCCGGGGAGGTAGACAGGACGAACCCTTTTATGCGGGTTCTAAGGGATTATTTTTGGCCGAGCCTAGGGGCTCGGAGAAACCCACGTTAAACTTGGCCTTGTGCCACATATATTCCTCGTGGGGGGGGGATTGTTAAATATCGGCATCATAACTCCCTTCCTAGAAAGAAATCCCCACAAGGGGACACTTTGTAATTGTAAGTAATAATAACCTATTGTTTGTTGTGTCTTTTGTTTTATGTTGTGATACATGTACTAAAAATGTAGTTTGGCGTCCTCTCTTCCTGTTACTCCTTATTTTCTGCTTGGGAGATCTTCGAGGTACGGAGCAGTTAAATATCTAACAACTTGACAACCCTTTCTTCCGACATTTCACAGATGTGCCCAAACCTGTAAAAAATAAAAATCTATACTTAATGACCTCACCCATTTATTAGCTTCCCTGGCAACGCTAGAGTTATTGCCCTTGCCAGGTGGCAGTATCATTTTGTTATGACAATGGCGGACTGTTCGAAGATGTTTACGATGACTGGAGGTGAAAAGACCGACTCTGTGACGTTTGTTTTTTAAATGAATTTTCGGTAAATATTATAAAGAATTCTAATTTTTGGCAATAGCAATCTGTTTTACAATTCCTTTCTTTTAATTCTATCAATTTCAAAACGTTAAGCTTATATATTGGAAGAATGATGTATTTTTTTTAAAAAAAAGCTTTCTTAACACATTCGAAATAAATCGTGTTTGGACGTGTTGAAATTCGATTTTTGCTTTTTTATTTATTTTAGTATATAGTTATTCTCTTTTAATGTGTCGCCTGATGCTTTTTAAAATATGTAATATTGTGTTATCTTGCTACTTTTTCTTTGAATACTTTTCTTTTAATATTCACCACTGTGAACTTATCGCTGGAAACGCCACTTATCGTTCAAATCAAATAAAAACAAAATATGAACCCGCTGGAACTTTTAAAAAAATAACTAATGTCAAATTTTCTTTATTTACTTAACACTAACAGTAACACTGTGTGCTAGGTTGACGGGATAATTTTTTAAAATTGGTTTTCCATCCTCAAACAATTCGCTTCATTTCATATTGCTGTTACAAATTTAAATTCAATTTTACATTTTTTTTATAATAACGATCTTTTAACATTCTGTATAAAAAAATTTTTTTTTTTTTTTTTTGTGAAATGGCTAAAAAAAATAACACTAATAAATTGGTACCCCTCATACTGGCAATCATATCGGTGCCTGTAACGTGGCCTTCGGACCGGGACTATTGTGTAAAAAAAAAAAAAAAAAAAAAAAAGTCTCTTTTCCCTGCTGGTCAGTCGTGTCTATCTCCAGGCAATACCTCCCCGACAACATGAAAAGTGGGGGCGGTCAGGGTCTATTCCTAATGCATAAGGCGTCCTCCCAAATTGCTATGGGTGTGGGGGGGGTGGGGGTAGAAATCTCTTATCACCACCTAGATGGTGGTTTTATAACTTTAGCTTAAGGCCGAAAGTATGGGGTACCTAGTGAGGATCGAACTCACTACTTAGTCATATGTCCACTTTTTCGCTAAAAAAAGTGGCATATCCTGATGAAAAAAGACTCCAAACTTAAAAATGTTTTATCGCGAAAAACTTTGTTATTAATAAGAGAAGAGACCAAAGTATTTTTTAATTATTTTTTGAAATTTTTTATTCCTTTTTTTTAGCACGTTTGAATTTGTGGTTGAAAATCTTGTTTTTATTTATTTTATTTTTTTTAGGTCAAAGGTCACCTAATATTTTGCATTAGCTTTTTAATTGATTTAACGAGGCAGCATGCTAACCATTACACCACATCAAAGTTACCTTTTCTAAGTGTAGCTTAATGTCACAAGGTTGAAAGTATGGGCCACACAGGGAGGATCAAACTCACTATTCAGTCATAATTGATCTAGTTATCTACTAAGAGAAGCTTGCTAACCATTACACCCTGTTGAAGTGCCCCTGCCTACAAGTATGTGTTGGGTTTTGCATAAAACTTGACCTTGTGTGTCCTATTCTGCCATCATGGATAAGAGAATAAATCATATATATCCCCTCTACTAAAATATCCATTTCTTCTCTCCAACCTTCAGCTATGGGTTAAATATCAGGTTAGACTGCAGTGTCTAACCTTGAGTAACAGTTTCAGGTAAAAGCAACATTGAATTCAAAATCGTAGAGAAGTTAATGGGAAACCACACATGGCAACTCACAGATAAAAAGGAGACTATGGAGGACCATGATCACCTGAAGAACTAAAAGATCTGTATATGTATCAGTTTTTCTCCTAAATATCATCAATATATATGATATATACTTCTAAAGAAGTAATGGATTTTTTATTTATTAAGCTGATAGATTTTATCTCTTAAAATGTTATATTAGTGAATATTCATATTTGAGTTAGACACTGTTTATTTATTAAATGTTATATTGATTTTCATCTACTGGTCTGAATATTTGAGAAATAAAGAAAATATGCCAGAGAGTGTATATATTTTTCTTTAATAAGTTTTCTAAAATATTCATGCCAATAAACAAAAATAGATGTATCATTTAATTTCCACAAATTTTTCTAACAAAATAACATATTCCATATACAAATTATTCATTAATAAGTAAGTGCTGAAATTTTCATTTAAATAATTCCCTGATTCTGGTAAAATTTTAAAAACACTGGGTAGCATTTTTTCTTTTTGCTTTAATTTCTGAAACAAATCACATTCATTTTGTTGATACCTATTGGGCACCTGGCTGTGGTGTAAAGGTTAACAAGCAAGGAGACTAGTAAAATTATGTGCTGGGTTCAATCCCCCACTGAATACAGACTGAGTAATATTAATTTTACTCTCTAGGGGTTTGATATTATTCTATTAATTCTTAAAATATCAAACTACACTATACTGAATGCTAAGTAACTCATAAATATATATTATTTTTATATTCAAAATTTGTTTCTAGAGTAAATAAATTAATATTGATTGACAGTATGGTGTTTTTTCTAAGTGTAGCTTAGATGTGGCACAAGGCCAAAAGTATGGAGCACCCATTGAGAATTGAACACTATACAGTCATAATTAATCTATCAAGACTAGCTTGCTAACCATTACAACACTTCAAAGTGCCCAAATTGATTGACTCTATGGAATACATAGCAAAAAAATTGGCTTGTTATTATATTTTGAAATTGGTGAGGGGGATCTTTTTAGTAAGATATATCTGCCCCAACACAACAGCAAAAATTTCTTGAATTTAGTAATTTATATCTATTTAAGTTAGGCGGACTGGATTTTTATTTTGCCACAAAAATAAATCTACTTTGTTTGTTTTATCATTTAAAATTTGTCGCTTAAAATTTTTAAATCTATTTTTTTTTCCTTTTTTTTACATTTAGTTTATTCAATACAAAGCCCAAGGGCCACTCAAGGTAGAGAGTTACTGAGTGAAGTCGTTGTACAAGATGGAGAAGTAAGAGTCTATTAATGTGCTATGTATTCCATAGTCTATCAATTTGGGCACTTTGAAGTGTTGTGATGGTTAGCAAGCTAGTCTCACTAGTAGGATAGATTCTTTTAGAACATTTGCCACCTAAGGCTAGAAAGCCCAGTCTACTCTGCTATTTAACCCAGAGTTGGGAGGAGAAGAGACATATTCATTCTTTTCCCAAAGAGCATTTGTGCTGAAAGTGAATGCAACAAACCAGCTCAGAGCTTATTGCTGCCACATATGGTCCATTGCCCTTTCTGTTTACCTTGAGCTCCTTGATAAGATCCAAAGAATCAGCAATATTATTGATCCTGATCTGGCAGCTTGGCTTCAGTCACTTTCCCATCACCATAAGGTTGCCTCTCTGTGTCTTTCTATAAATACTTTCATGGTAATTGTTCAGGTAAGCTCTTTGCAGTACTTCACTGAAAAACTACACTGAGCAACGAGGTGATTTTAAAAAGCAAAGAAAAGAGGCAATGTTTAATATTTCAAGAATAATTTCTTCAATTACCTGAGGGTTCTGAATTATTTTTTGTTTTGTTTTGTGAGAGTTAAAACTTCAAACAAAACTGACCAGCATAAATTGTTAACCTTAAAGTTCCAGCTATAAATTCTGTTTCCGACAGGCTACGAGTTAGTAATACTGAGTGACACTTCCCTCGAAAGTAAATCTGTTTATTGTCTTAATAAAGCTTAACAATGAGTCACTTTCTTGCCAAGCAAAATATCCACCAAGTCTAAAACAAATATCAATTAACACTTATTATACAGCTTACAAATGCTAAACTAAGCTTGTTTTTTCTTGACTGTAGAGTCCTACTTTAAATTTACAAACAAGGTTCGCTTGTATTTATATTACAGCTCCAAATTTCATCTTCTAATCCTATTTTTCAAGTCATTTAACCCTAAGCAAGGTAATAAAGTCACTAAGTTGCAAGGGGTTACTGAGAAGCTACATTACAGCAGTGGGAAATTGATTGAAAGTGAGATGCCATGTCAAGGCCAATAACATTGCAGATTCTTTGGATTTTATCAAGAATCTCTAAATGTGCATTGTGGTGTAATGGGTATTGGCACGGAGTGAGAACTCAGCTGAGTTCAAATTTCAATCAAGTTTGTTAGATTCACTTACACACAAATACCCTTGGGAAAGGTATGAATCTATCTCTTGTCCTCCCAGCTATGGGTTAAATAGCAGGACAGACTGTGTTCTTTAACCTTGTTTGGTAACCAGAAAGAAATGGCAATCTACTGCAGGGAAAAAACTCTGCTGTGTCAGTCATGTATCAAAAGATATATGATCACCCAAGCATATATCACATATAGCACTTAACTGACTGATGGCAGCAGCACCAGACCAGATGTGTTAACAATATTCAGTTCATGGATGAATGGTAGATTTATAAATATGTAAAATATATTCTGGCAAGAAAAATTGTCTAGTATGACATAGTGAACCAACTTTCCTAGCAGCAGACTTAGTAACTGACTAGCAGTAGAGCCCAGCGTTGCCCAGGGATGTAAAAGAGATAAATCAAGTATCGACCATCATAAAGATTGAAAAATAAAATTGACAAAGATTATTGTTTAAGGTTGACACACACGCATGTCTTAATTAGTTTTTTTTTTTTTTTTTACAAATTGGTCAAACTCAAACAAAAACATTGTTTTCAATCGTTATGAGTCTACCGATTGAATAGAATTTTATTATAAACAATGGTCTTGTAAATGGAATTTTTAAAGCATTCTGAATGTAAAAATAAAGAAAAAAGTGTGTGAGACAATAAGAAACACTACCTGCCAAAAAAAGTGAAGTTTTGTTGAAATCGGTTGAAAAATGTAGGAAATCCGATCCCATATATAAACGAACATGCACACACACACAAACAACCTGGGTTTTATAATAAGTATAACTCGATATGAGTTGTCCCCCTTTCATTCTCGCGATGCCTCTTAATCATGTTTTCAAATTGATTTCGTGCAAAAACAATTGTGTTTTTCCAATTTTTGGTGCTGTCAGAACCACCACAAGGTAATTTTATGTAGTCCTGTGAAGTTTTGTTGAAATCGGTTGAA